AGACTGGTCTCCAGCATCCAGGCTCAAGCAACCCATCCACCTCAGCCTCCCAAAGTGCTAGGATTACAGATGGGAGCCACTGCACCCACCCAAGAAGTGTATATTCTATGTCAGTTAGAATAGTAATGATCACTTAATAATATTAACTATGTCAGTTAACACTAATGATAAAATTCAGAGGGTATTTCTACTATAATTAGGTATTTTGGTTTGTAATTGTCGTTAGTCAGCTGCAACCCTCCCACACCCACAAAGAGGCAACATTAGTTCCCTTACTGATATTGAAACTGTTGAACATTACTTCCAGAGTACCCATTTACGTATATTTCCTAAAAATCAAACAGCAGCTGTCTCTCATAGGAAGAAATAGTTGCAAATTTGTTAATCAGATTTTGGGATTTGACTGAGGGAAATTGTTCATTAGGTTAAGTCCCTTGCCATATTTATTTTCTAATTTTCTATTTTTTTGAGTTGAAGTCTCACTCTGTTGCCCAGGCTGGAGTGCAGTGGCACGTTCACCGCCACCCCAGTGTCAATCTGCTAGGCTCAGGCGATCCTTCTGCCTCAGCCTTCCAAGTAATTGGAACTACAGGCATGTGCTACCACTCCTGGCTAATTTATTTATTTATTTTAGAGACGAGATTTTTCCAAGTTGCCCAGGCTGTTCTCAAACCCATGGACTCAGGCAAGCCCCTCACCTAGACCTCCCAAAGTGCTGGCATTACAGGCTTGAGCCACCACGCCTAGCCACCGTGTTTATTTTTATTTTTTTGAGTCAGGGTCTCACTTTGTCGACCAGACTGGAGTGCAGTGGCATGATCGCAGCCACCACAGCTGTGACCTTCTGGGCTCAGATGATCCTTCTGCCTCAGCCTTCCAAGTAGCTACAACTACAGGCATGCACCACCCCACCTGACTAATTTTTGGATTGATTGTAGAGATGAGGTCTCACCAAGTTGCCCAAGCTGGTGTCGAATGCCTGGGCTCAGGCAACCCTCTTGCCTCTGCCTCTGAGAATACTGGAGTTATAGGTGTGAGCCACTGCACCCAGCTCTCTGCCATAATTTTAAATGTTACGTGGAAGTAAGAATGTACATCGTCTATAAAATATGGACTTAAAAAACTCAGAAACATGGCGAAATTCAAAGGCACTGTGGTTAGCCACCAAATGCCAGTGAAGGAGGGAAGATTCTAGGTAAACCAGCATCTGACTAAACTTAATAAGAGACACCCTCAATAGTAGGTTTGTTCAATATTATTTTTTTAAATTAATTAATTAATTAATTATTTTTTGAGTTGGAGTCTCACTCTGTCACCCAGACTGGAGTGCAGTGGCCGCTCCTGGCCACTACAGCCTCGACCTGCTGGGCTCCGGCGATCCTTCTGCCTCAGCCTTCCAAGTAGCTGGAACTACCGGCGTGCACTACCACACCCGGCTAATTTTTTTTGATTTATTGTAGAGATGAGGTCTCGCCAAGTTGCCCAGGCAGGTCCCAAACTTAATTTATTTTTTTTTTCTTCTTTGTGCCATATCTTTGGACATGAGAAATATTCTTTTTCATTGTGAACGTTAGCAAACAGCAGTTTGTGCATATATATGTATGCATATATCAATGTGATATATATGATATAAAATTTGGGCATGTTTCCCTTTTTTTTTTTTTTTTTTTGCATTGGAGCCTCACTTTGTCACACAGCCTGGAGTGCAGTGGCATGCTCACGGCCACTGCCACCTCATTCTGAGCGCAGGCAATCCTTCTGCCTCAGCCTTCCAGGTAGCTGGAACCACAGGCATGCACTGCCATGCCTGGCTAATTTATTTGTTTATTTTTTTTATTTATTGTAGAGACAAGGTCTCACTGTGTTGCCAGGCTGGTCTCGAACCTCTGGGCTCAGGCAATTCTCTCGCCTCAGCCTCCCAAAGTGCTGGGATTACAGGCGTGAGTCACCGTGCCCAGCCAGTTTAGTCATGTTTCCCAAGGAAAGTTATCCTTCGATTGAATTTTAACTCTTCAGTGTATTTGGAAATGACCCATTCAGAAGCATTGGAATCAGAATTATTAAATGTAGAGAAAGATTTGATTATGGTATTCAGTATATGTTGACTGCCTGTCGGGGTGGAGAGATGTATACAGCCGATGTGTAGTTAGTTTCTGCTTTCCAGTAAATGAATTCATCTGAGAAGGTGATGTGAACATAAATAGGGAAGAAAGCATAAATATTTTAAATGAGACATTAAGTGCTACGGGAATTCAGAAGCAAGAGATCACTTCCACGTGGAAAAGGTGGTGCATTAGTTTCCTAGGGCTGCTGTAACAAAGCCACAAACTGGGTGACTTAAAACAGCACAAGTTTATTTTCTCACATTTCTGGAGGCTAAAACCCACATTCAGAGTGTCAGCAGGGCCACCCTTTCTCTGAAACTTTGGGTAGAATACTTCTTGCCTCTTTCTAGCTTCCATCAATTCTTGGTGCTCCTTGTTCTGCAGCTGCATCACTTCAGTCTCTGCCTTTGTTATCACATGGCATTCTCCCAGGTGTCACGGTTCTCTCTTATAAGGACACCAGTCATTTTGGATTAAGGGCCCACACTTCATCTTTTTTTTTTTTGGCATCAGAGACTCACTCTGGCATCCAGGCTGGAGTGCTGTGGCATGCTTACGGTGACATGCTGTGCTCAGGCGATCCTTCTGCCTCAGCCTTCCTAGTAGCTGGAACCAAAGGCATGTGGAGATTGTAGAGATAAGGTCTCGCCATGTTGCTTAGGCTGGTATGGAACCCCTGGGGTCATGCAGTTCAATTGCCTCTGCCTCTCATAGTGCTGGGATTACAGCATGAACCACTGCACCTGACCTAACTTCATCTTAATTAATTACATCTGTAGTGACCCTATTGCCAAATCAGATCATATTCTGAGGTACTGAGGGCTAGGACTTTAACGTAGTTTTTTTGCGGGTCGGGCACAATTCAGTCCATAACAGGTGGCATTTGAGATGACCCAGAGGCATTAAATTAAAATTTACTAAGTAAGTGGAAGGGTAAGATTGCAACAAGTGGGGTTAAGGAGAGAACCAAGAGAATGATGGACAAAGGAAAGTATAAGGAATATTTAGGAAAGGAAAATAAAACAGTGAGAAGTCTGATTTGGTAGTATGTGGAGTTTATGTTTTTTGAGTTGATGTCTCACTCTCAAACTGGAGTCCAGTGGCACAATCATATCTCACTGCAGCCTTGACTTTCTGAGCTTAGGTGATCCTTCTGCCTCAACCTCCTGAGATAGCTGGGACTACAGATACATGCCACCATGCCCGGCTCATTTTTTAATATTTTTTGTAGAGACGAGGTCTCGCCAAGTTTCCCAGCCTGGTCTTGGACCCCTGGGCTCAGGCAGTCCTCTTGCCTCTGCCTCCTAAAGTGCAGGGATTACAGGTGTGAGCCACCACACCTGGCTAGGTGTAGTCTAATATGATCAATTGATAAGAGACAAGAAAACACCTTGAAGAAAAACATGGTCCATGATTTACGCACCCAGCCTCCCTCATTTCACTTGCTTTTGCCAGTAACTTTTACCAGCGTGGTAAAGAAATCCCTCTCAAAAAAAAAAAGGCCTTCTCCCATAAAGCAACAGCAATAAATTTGGAGGGTTTTGCCAGCCCTCTCCTCTTGGTGAATCATCTGTGAGCATTGAGAGATACATCAGCTTTTCAGGGTCTCTATTCAGAAGCCTCGCCATGAGTTTCAGTATTAATAATAATCATGTCACTCTTTATTTTCTTTCAGACCTTTCTTCAAAATCACCTCTTTTCCATCCGATTCTTTACCTCTTGATTTTCTCTGAATCTTTTTCAGTTTTTCCATATTTAAAAAAATCTCGAAAGAATTAAGGAAGACTAAGTACTACTTTTTAAAAATGAATAAAAAAACAATAAAAAAGAAAAAAACTGAGGAAGACTACGTACTGTCCAAGCTAATGATATAGTACTCTTTTTCTGTGTCTTTTTATTGCTAATTCAAATTGATAGGACTGTATTCAGATTGTGAATACTCATTCAAATTGTGGTCAAAATAGTCCTCAGGTGCTTTTCTTTATTTGTGCCTTGGCAGGTCTTCCTGATTCTGTATTTGTATTGTTTGTATTTTCTCTTAGAGTGTGTATCCCTGTGACATTTTAAAAAATGTATTTAAGCTGTGCTCGGTGGCAGCCTGTAATCCCACGCTTTGGGAGGCTGCGGTGAGTGGATTGCCTGAGCCCGCGGGTTCGAGACCCGCCTGGGCAACTTGGTGAGACCTCATCTCTACAATAAATCAAAATGAGCCGGGCATGGTAGCGCGCGCCTGTAGTTCCAGCTACTTGGAAGGCTGAGGCGGAAGGATTGCCGGAGCCCAGCAGGTCGAGGCTGCGGTGGCCGGGAGCAGCCACCGCGCTCCAGTCTGGGTGACAGAGTTGAGACTCCAACTCAAAAAAAAAAAAATAAAAATAAAAATAAAAAGTGTATTTAAATATTACAAATATTGACTTGGCTTGGTGGCACATAATCCCAGCATTTTGGGAGGCTAAGGCAAGAGGATTGCTTGAACCCAGGAGTTGGAGACCAGCCTAGGCAATATAATGATACCTTGTCTCCACAAAAAATTAGGTGGGTGTTAATCGTAGTCTCAGGTACTCAGGAGGTTGAGGCAGAGGATTGTCTGAACCCAGGGAATTTAGGCTGCAGTGAACTATGATCGTGCCACTGTACTCCAACTTGGGTGGCAGAGAGACCCCGACTCAAAAAAAATTACAAGTACATGACATCCTGGTCATTATCATATTCATACGGTCTTTATGTTTAGAGTTTTTTTGTCTTTTTTCATTTGGCAGTACTTTTTCACATGTCTATATATTTATTATTTTAAATGGATATATAATAAAGTTTAGAATAGTCTCTGGTTATGTAGAATTTGGATGATTTTTTGTTTGTTTTTATTTCTGTTTTGTTATTTTTTAATTTTTTTTTTTTTTTTTCAAATTGATAAATGACAGCTTTATTTTTTCACACTTAAAGGATGATGAAAAACCACTACTAATCCCATTAAAGAAAATCCAGCGTTTTAGCTGAAAAGTTTGGGAACTATATTCACTCATTAAATATCAAATTTAACTTTTCTGAAACCCAACTTGAAAACACCCAGCATGCATGTTCAATTTTAATACAGTGAGTTCGAGGCCACATGTACACGTTACACGCATGAAGGCTGGATTACAGGTTGTCACCGTCGTCGTCATCGTCGTCGTCGTCGACGTCTTCATGTTTTCTTTTCAATGCGTTTGACGATTCACTGGCAGCATTTTGTGGTGACACCATGTTAGTGGTAATAAGAATGTTTTTGGGCCCAATTAAAGAGGGATTAATCAGCACATTCTGAACTGCTGATGTTGCAGGAACTGACGCTTTTACAGCTGGGGACTGTGAAGTAGGCATCTGTACTGTAAACCTTTGTCCTGTGAGGGACATTGGAGTCCCCACCTTAGTTGAGACAGACATGGTTTGTGGGGTTGGTGTGCCCAGTGTGGGAGTGCTCGGTCTGCTGGTAACGGAACCGACACTTAACCGTGGGACTGTTATTCTGCCCGCAGAAGTAGATGCCTTCTTCTGTAAAGACTTAAGCCTGTAGTTTGGAGCTGTTAAGCAATACCTATCAGGTGGCAATCTAGGACCTGAATATGGCTGATCAATGGCAAAGGGGTTTGATTTCTTTGCCTTGCAATGTCTAATAAAAAATCTCTTGGAGGAGGGGAGGTAAAAGACTGGTCAGCACGACACTGGATTGCCAATCGCACATCATCTGCATCGACAGTAGCTTTCTTAGCATGGCTTGAATAAACTTTTGCATCATCTAGAATTGTGGTCACATATCGGAAGGCAAACTCCAACATCTGATTTATAACTCTTGGCTCATATTCTGTAATCCCCATATCCTTCAGGATTTGTGCCATCATCTGTGCATCTTTCGGCATGCTCTTGGGAGAAGCCATCTTGCCAGACTCCATGATATCCGGTGATCAGACTTCTCGAGCTAAATCACCCACATTAATGTATTTCAGTCCTGATCTTGATGCAAGTTCTTTGCCTAGTGTGGTTTTTCCAACCCCTGGTGTACCGGTGAGCAGGATGTTCGGAAGCAGCATGGTCCTCGCGACGATGGCTCCGCGCGTCCGGGTCCTCGCGCCGCGCGCTCATTTTTTAATTTTTATTTTTGAGTCTAAGTCTTACTCTGTCTGCCAGACTGAAGTGCAGTGGCACACTCACAGCCACTGCAGCCTCGACCTGCTGGGCTCAGACGATCCTTCCACCTCAGCCTTCCAAGTAGCTGGAACCACAAGCACACGCCACCACACCCGGCTAATTTTTTGGTTTATTGTAGAGAGGAGGTCTCAAACCCCTGAGTTTAGGTAATCCTCTTGTCTCCACCTCCCAAAGTGCTAGGATTACAGGTGTGTGCCACCACGCCCGGCTCTGTTTTTTAATTTTTAAATTACACTAGTATAATATCTTTTTATAAATTTTTTCCCCAGTTTTTTCCTTAGACTATATTCCCCAAATTGATTTAACTAGCTCTAAGGATGTTACTTTTTAACCACATTTTCAAATTGTTCTTTAGGATGACTGCCAGTTTATACTGTCAGTTTATAAATTGAATTTTATAATTTATTTTCTTATAGTATAATAGTGGTACTTTACCATGCTGTGGTTTTTGAAAAAATATTTTGTATGTTTTGTCATGAAAGATTACAAACATACCAAAAGCCACAAAATAGTACAGTAAACACCCTTATACCCACCACCTGTATTCCACATTACCATATGCTTAATAGTATTTATTATGTCAGACCTTTTTAAAATAAAGATCTCATTATACTATGCCTTTGAATACTTTAGCATGCATCTCTAACAAATAAGGATATTCTTATACATAATCACAATACCATTTAAATTAAAAGTAATTCTTTAGTATTATTTATCTGACATTAAGTCTGTGTTGAAGTTTCTCCAGTTGTCCCCAAAACAACTTTTATAGCTAACTTGTTTGAAGTGGAATCAAATTAAGGACCATGCATTGCATTTGCCTGTTATGCCCATAGTCTTTGTTTTTTTTAAACCCAGAATACTTCCTGTTTCCCTTTGCATCTCCTCTACTTTTTTCCCGCGACCATTGAAAAGCTGCATATAATTCGGTTTTACTTAGTCGGTATTCATTTGTTGACAGAGCTGTTTTCTTGTCTCATATTCTGGAGATATCTGATTGTTTTCTTTGTAGCATTAAACTTATTTCTTTATTCCTTCTAATTTTCTAAAGTAGAAGTTTAAAAGAATTACCTAATTCTAAAGACTTAATTAGACTCTAGTTAAACATTTTGGCAAACATACTTAAATATTCTTCACGTTTCATTGTATCATGAGGTAAATAAATATCTAGTTGCCTCATTATTATTGAGACATTCCATCACAGGGTTTATATGTCACGTGCAGTATCTCTCCTTTGTAAAACTGTTTTTTTTTCTTTTGTGACTAGCAATTTTTTTTCTTTTTTTAATTTTTAATTGTAAATATGTGGGATACAATTCAGGGTTAGGTATACAAATATTCATTATGCAGGTACCCTTGTTGGTGAGGTGTGCTTCCTTTCCCCTGGCAATTTCCCACTACTGCCAATTCTGCCCTGCCCTCCCTCTGACTAGCAATTTTAAAAGAATCAGCCAATAATAAATGTAGCTTATCTTGCTTGAACTAATTTTTTATATCATTTAACCATTTTTTCACTGTAGATTTGGTATTCCCACCTTTTTTGTGTGTGTTGGAGTCTCACTTTGTCACCCAGGCTGAAGTGCAGTGACACGCTCATGGCCACTGCAGCCTTGACCTGCTGGGCTCAGGTGATCCTTCCGCCTCAGCCTTCCAAGTAGCTGGAATTATAGGCACGTGCCACCATGCCTGGCTAATTTTTTGATTTATTGTAGAAATGAGGTCTCACCAAGTTGCCCAGGTGGGCCTTTAACCCTCTCACCTCGGCCTCCCAAAGTGCTGGGATTACAGGTGTGAGTCACCGTGCCCAGCTGGTATTTTCCTTTTTTATTTTATGAGTATTGGTGTACCATGAGGTATTTTTCTTTCATATTTGTATAATGCATTTAAAAATTTAATTCAGTGTGACAAAGAATGGTACCTTGTTATGGAAGATAAATTCCAAGTGTCAGGGAATAGCTTAAAACCAAATAAAATTTAAAGAAAAAGATACATTGTGATAATATAATAGGGGACATTTCTTTGACAGGATTTTGTGATGATTCATATTTACTTGTTTTTTAAAGACATTTATTTGTTTGAGTTGGAATCTCTGTTGCCCAGCCTGGAGTGCAGTGACACAATCATAGCTACCACAATCTTCAACTGCTGAGCTCAGGTGATCCTTCCCACCTCAGCCTTCCAAGTAGCTGGGACCACCATTCCCAGCCAAGACCATTTTTGACAAACAAACTGAAAACACATAAAGCTCTTGAATAAAAAACTTATTTTATTTTTGTTTTTGAAGTAAAAGTAAATCTCGAATTCATAAATGCTTTACACATTCAACCCTTGTCCACTGAGCATTTCATTTGGCTGTCTTTTATACACCAATTCTTCATCAGTTTTAAATACCTATTTTTTTCTATCATTCCTATTATGGATATTTTCTTATTCCATTACTTTTCTGTTATGAATTATACTTAAATAGAATTTTCCTTTCAAACCACAACAGCAGTGGATGCTTATTGCAACAAGCTGAGCATCATCTGTGGTGTATGAAGAAAACGCCAACCATCTGCTCTTTGTTTTTTCTTTGAGTTGGGGTTTCACTCTGTCAACCACATTGGTCTGCAGTGGCACAATCACAACCACAGCCTCAAACTTCTGGGCTCTTGGAATCCTCCTGCCTCAGCTCCTGAATAGCTGGGACTACAGGTGTGTGCCACCATGCCTAGCTCTCTTCAGTTTCTATCTTCCAGGCTACTCAGGTATAATAGTCTAGTATAGACTTCTCTATTTTTTCTCTGTGCTCTTAGAAACACAAATATAGCCAGGCACGGTGGCTCATACTTATAATCCCAGCACTTTGGGAGGCCGAGGTGAGGGGATTGCCTGAGCCCGCGGGTTTGAGACCAGCCTGGGCAACTTGGTGAGACCTCATCTCTACAATAAATTTTTAAAAATTAGCCGGGCATTATGGTGCATGCCTGTAGTTCCAGCTACTTGGAAGCCTGAGGCAGAAGGATCACCTGAGCCCAGCAGGTCAAGGCTGTGGTGGCCATGAGCGTGCCACTGCACTCCAGCCACGGTGACAGAGTGAGACTCCAACTCAAAAAAAAAAAAAAAGGAACACAAATATACAGTTACTGATTCATTTTGTCTCTTATGATTATTATGATTCTACAATTTCAATATTTTTTATTTTTAGGTTATACATCTCTAAATTATTAAATAAATAACTTTTTAAAAACTAGCTGCATTTTATTCGGTTTCTGTTTGTTTTACTCAATGGGTGTTTATGTTGTTTCTGCCTTTTTCCCCATTACTAACAGTATTACAGTAATGGAGCTTTTACTTTAAGATACAATCCAAATGTGGGGTAAAGTGTCTACTGATTTCATTTTTATTATGAACTCTTTATTTTTCACAAAAATTGTCATAGTTCTTATTCCCACTGGCAGTGGCTAGCAGGTATCTTTTTAACTTTTGCCAATCAACTGAGTGAAAAAGTATATTCTTATGTTTATTATTTTCCTGACCATTAATCAGTTGAATACTCTCATGGGCTATTTGTAGTCCTGTTTTGCAAATCGCCTCTTCCAATCCTTTCTTTTTCTCTTGGTTGTTATTTTATTTATTTTTTAGTCAGTTTGCAGATGCTTTTGAATATTTTTTGTCACATTGTATAAATATATTATTCCTGTCTGTCATTTGGCTTTTGACTGGTTTCTTTTGATATATAGACTATTTTAATTTTTATCTAGTATGGCTGTCAGTCTTCTGGGTTCATGTTTTACTGTTCACCACTCCACTGAAGTTAATAATTCTGGATTTTATTTCTGTTTTTTTAATTGTTATTTGTAATATTAATTTTTTTCTTTTTTGCAGTTTGGGCAGAGATTTCTTATTTTTAATATAAATGAACCAATTTATCTTATTTATTATTATTATTTTTTTTGAGTTGGAGTCTCTGTCACCCAGACTGGAGTGCAGT